CACACACACACACACACACACACACACACACACACACACAAGCTCAAGTGAAGCTATTAATTTGAGCTTCTTAACTAAATGTGATCGATCCACCAGTCACAACCCGCTGTGCTAGAAACGAATGATATACTGTGGCTTTTGAAGCATATCGTTCTAAATTTTTTTTAAGACGTTAGGACAGAGATCTAGTTCTTTCTAGGTTGTATTTGTTGGTTGTTCTTGCAGTTGTTTATATGATGAAGCTATGTGAGGATTTTGTCCCTTATGGAGATTCTAGGATGTTCTCTATCCAGTATGATTTTTTTCTCAACATTATTTTATTTGCAGTCTTGCATTAAGTAAAGTTTTTACGTCACACAAAATGGGCAACCCGTAGTATGATTTCTCCTTACATAGCATTGGTAGATTTCCAAAACACTGTACTACTCCCCAATGTCATAATGTGGGGTCTGTTGGTCATCTTTACAATAAATGAACAAAATGATGTTCGTGCTGTGCTGCAACAGCTAAACACAGTGGCATCCCTCTCTGGACAGGGTGTCAGCTACATGGTTAGCCTCCCGTTAGATAAAATATGTGTCCAAATAGAGGGATCAATCGCCAAGGGCTTTGGGCTCTTTTGGGACACTCTGGTCACGTGGTTTGCACACCAGCTAGGAGCTTGGAAGTGTCACTTCCTGTCTCTCAAAGGCAGAATCACCTTAATTGAAGTAATCCTTTTAGATATATCCATCTTTCAGATGTCTCTCTTTAGATGCCCAAGGCCATTGTTTACTGGCTTGAATGTATGATGAGAGATTTTTTGTGGTTTAGGGTGGGTGGTGCACACAAGTTCCACACAGTAAAGTGGAATATGGTTTGTACTCCATAAAGAAGTGGGAGCATAGGCATCAGAAATATAAGTGACTCCAATGCCACACTACTCAGCAAGTGGTGATGGTGCTTCGCGAACCAAGAGGGCCCCATGTGGCAGCCGGTTGTCCTCCACAGTTACAGCCTTGATAGCTCTTCTTGGCTTTTGGGGGCCTCAGTCAATACTCATTCTTTGGTAGTCTGGAGAGGGATTGCATCCACATATTCAGAGTTTGCTTCTGACCTTCAATTCAACCCAAAAGAGTGATTACATTAGTCTGTGGGAGGGCCTATGTGTAGGAGAGTCTATTCTCCCATCTCGCTATCCGGGGCTATTCTCTCTTGCTAGAGACAATGATGTTAGTGTGGCACAATCATATGAAGTCTTTGGTGGTCAATTGGGTTGGGTCCCCAGGTTTAGAGGAACCTACAGACAACAAGATTCTTGAACTTGAGTTATTGCTGGACACCCTAAGGGCTCAATTTTTTACCCTAGAATGGGGAGACACAAAATGGTGTGCTCTCACGCCTCATCTGGTTCTTTCTTGGTGGCATCTTTCGATAGTGTAAACTGAACCACAACCTCCTTGGTCATAGCCTACAAAGCCTGGTAGGCCCCCATTTGGCTGGTTTGGTCCGATAAAGCCTTCATGTTCGACCAGCTAAAACAGAGGGGACACCAGCTGCCCAACTGTTGTACAATTTGTAAGGAGGCCGAGGAAACCATAGACCTCCACTTTGTACACTGTTCAACGTTCGGGCCAAATTTGGCTGTCATACTTCAGCATTTTGTATGGGTATCGGCAATGCCACAAACAGCAGTTTGTGGCGTACTTTAGTCTCCCATTCTCCTCCTTGGGGATTTGTCTTCTGCAGGCCACCCTGCTTTTTCGGCCATCTGCTTGTATCGTGACAGCAGGATATTCAACCGTAGCAAATATGCCAGGGAGAAGTGGAAGATAGAATCCTGTCTACTGTCATGTTTTGGCCCCAGAACCAAAGGGATTTTACGAGTTGGTCGCAGGGGGATGTTGAGCAGAACTGGAAAGGAATCTTACTCTCAAGATCGACAACTATCTCGAGATCTTCCTTCTAGGTCCCACCAGATTTTGGGGTCGTCATCCAGGAGCTGCAGGTGTGGGGGGCCTTTTTGGCAATAACCTGTAGCTGCTCTTGCTCTCTTTTTTGGGACCTATTGTAGGAACAAATTCCATGTTTGCTGAGGTACATTGTTCATTGGAGGTTTTTAAGCTGTTTGACAGCAGGTGGGGTCACTGTCTCCTTGTGGAAGGGGACTGACTGAACTGACTGAATGTAGTGTTGGGCCGCCAAGTCTTCCCTTTCCCATGGATATTAGAACCCATGTTTGACCAATTTTTTAACTTGAAAGGTCCCTACAAGAAGCCCTTAAGCACACATGGAGGGAGGCTGACACAGCTGTGCATGCATTAGTGAAAGAGGGTGTGTTGGCCCCAACTTTTTTGATACGTCCAGCACAGCACAGACCTTGAGCTTTTCCATTTTCTTGGTTGTCTTTGTGAAAACAGTCCTTTATAGTTTAACTTATTGCTTTTCTTCAAGGTTAATACAATCCAGTCAAATCTACTTTAAAAAAAAGGGGGGTGGGGAAAAAAAAAAACGGAAAGGTACATTGCACCTGATGCTATAGACGAGCACTTATTCCTATTTAACTGTGAAAGCTCCTTTAATGTAGCATCTCCGATCTCCGTTAATAATGAGGGAAAAATGAAGAGAAAAAAGAGAGTAGGTCAGTCATCTGAACCTGTCCGGCTTCAATGATTGCATGTTCATTGTCACCCTTATTTTAGGTGGTTTTGAGCTACTGTGATTTTCATTTGAATTCCTTTTACATACTATTCTGTTTCTTCTATCTTAAATTTCTCACATGCAGACCATAATGATTAGCTATACTTGTATTTGCTATGTTTCATTCTGATTTATCATTACCATGACTTTGATGCAGAATAAACGTTTTTTCAGACCATTGTGTTCTATTTGTGGAATCTATGAATATTACATTGTAGAAATGTTTGTCGATAATTACATTAATGAAGGATGAGAAAAAAAGCAAACATGTGAATTGATTTACAAAATATAATAAATATATCTAGTAATATTCTCTTTCCTCTGGTGAAAAATAAATTGACCATTTGATTTATTACTGTTTTATGTCATTCAGGGTGCATTGAAAGTGCATAAAATTTTGATATTTCTTTGTACATCTTGATTATGCAGGAATTTGGTGAACCCACAATTGGTCGATCCTTTTTAAATGTCTGTAATGAGCAGAATGAAGATTTTAATGTAGAAGTCATCACTACTGTTGAAAAGACCATGAAAAAATGTATGGACACTCTATTATGCTTTATTGAGGGGATTAGTGGACGCATGTCACAGATGGAATCATATTGTTGCAATATTGAACGATCAATAGGAGAGCTTCGTTCAGATTTTGTTCATGACCATGGCGAATCAAATTCAAAGCTTACGTCCCTTGAGAAACATCTCCAAGAGGTGAGTTGCTAACTTTAAGTCCTCATATTTTGTGTCAATAGTTTATTTATGATTTCTTCTTTAAGTAGATCATATTTTCGAGGAATTGATTGGAAAACACATTCATGAATATAGCTCTTGCATGAATTATTATACACCCTCAAAGTTTTGTGAAGTGATTGGAAATCACATTGATGAATATCTTTCCTGTCTTGCGATGCTCTTGCTCAGTGTTTTAAACATCGGATTGGTGGGTGGATTGCGCACTTAATGATCTCGATCTGGATCATCCCAATTGGCAATCTGGATCGGCCCAAAAAAAGGAAAAAAAAAAAGGACACGAACACACACACATACAAACATTTAAAATATGCATTTTATATTGTTTAACTAAGATAGCCAACTTGGCTAGATCATTACTATGTGGAGCGCAATGTCTGAGGTTCAAATCTTACAACTGCATTTTCTTTTTAACATTTTAAAAAAGAAAACAAACTTATACGCATGTATATACCAATTAATATAACAAGATTAATATAACATATAGTATATAATATATGCTATTTTTTTTTTGCACATGAACCTATCACATATTATTTATTTAGTATCTTCACTTGTTTTTTTTTAATATTAAGGAAAAGCCATGCCAAGAGGGTTCAGACCTCCGACCCTGCAATTGAAAGCCACACAGTCTAAGCATGTCAGCCACTCAGCTTGGAGCTGTAGAATCTACATAATACTTATATAATATGTTGTGTATATATTTTTTGAACTGTAAAAAGGATAAAAGGCATGCCAGGATGTTCAAACGTTGGACCATGCAGTTAAAAGCCGCACTATGTAGCCAAGTCTGCCATTCCAGCTTGATGTTAAACAAGCAGATTCTGACCAGGAATCAGCACGGACTTTAATGATTCCCAATCCGGAATGGAGTTTTGTCAACCACTGCTCGTCTATTCACTGATTATTCGTACACCTTCGAAGTTCTCTGTTTTCATTCTTGTTAACTGATCATTTTGACCTATTTTCTGTTGATTTAGAGAAACATTATGATCTTAATACTTTTTAAATACATGACTAGTTTTTTTTTTTTTTAAGAAAAACACCCTCAAATATACATGACTTGTTGGTAGCTTGCTTTTAACCAATAACAGTTTTGCCTAATTCCTAACAAAGGCGCAGGTTGGTTTTGCTTAATATGTTTCGACTTAAATGCTTAGTTTCTTGGGAAACATTAATCCAATGGCTGGCCATGGCAATTTTTCCGTCCATGCTTTATTACCACATAATAATTAGGGGGTCTCCAAGTAGTGTTATACACCACAGTTATTTCGTCTCCATCCATGCAAGTCATAGAGTTAGCTTTTTTTTCCCCGACAAATATCACAGTAATGATTTCTTAATCAGGTAGATCTTAACCATGTAGTATTTTTTTGAGATATTATTTGCGTGCAGTTGATATGTATAGGTTGACTTGCACTTTTACACCGGCTATAACTAAAGAGATCCTTTACAAGGATTCTAGAAAGAGCTTTGTTTATTATGACTTGCACTTTTGCACTGGCTATAACTAAAGAGATCCTTTGCAAGGATTTTAGAAAGAGTTTTGTTTATAATTTATTTTATAAATTAAGTTTTTTAAATGCAGGTTCAGCTCAGGGCTCAGGGCTCAGACTTGTCCTGAGCTGAGCCTACTCTCACAAGCGTGGCTGAGTGCCTGAGCCGAGATGACTGGGGCCTGGACTCACGATAGTCAGTGAGTGCCTGAGACACGCCTGTGTGCCTCAAAGTCAACTGAGGATCCCAAATTGACTTGCTGAATCTAACTAGCAGGAAGAGTAAAATAAAATAAAATAATGGTAGTGATATCAACTTCAAAATTCTAGATGTACAACTATATTTTCTGAATTACCTCAGAAGAGATCAATACAAAACTAACACACTCAGTGCATGGAACTGATCATAATTAAAGCAGTATGAAGCTCTTATTCCACTTAGAATATTGTGTCTGGAAGACTATAATCGCCAAATTCTCTAGCAACAAATGCATTTTATGTTGCAATCTAGACGAGCTTCAAGGTAATTAGGCTCCAACAGCATATGTTTTCTATTTCAGTTAGTTCACTGAATGCTGATTAATCCCTTCAGTTACCAATCTATATTGTCTGCTATAGCAATTGTGTCCTAGATAAGAGTGCAACATATTGATTTTTTGATTGGTGGTCATGTTCTTGATCATAGAGAATCAGAAGCTTGGTATTTAAGAGGATCTTTTTGGTGGTTTGGCCTCTTGGATTGTTGGTTAGCGCATAAGTTAGCGCATAAGGTCCATGATATTGACATCTAAGGTTTGAGAACAGGTTGAAACCAAACATCCCCTGCCGAAACCAACCCAAACCAAAAAAAAAAAACAACAGATACAGCAGAACATCTCCCCCCCACCCCCCCGCAACCCAAAACAGTAAAAACAAAACCAACCCCACCCACCAGAAAAAAAAAAAGAAGAAAGAGAAAAAAGAAAAAAAACATATCTCTTCCCTCAGACACATACATCATCATCATTAATTCATTATCATCATCATCATCTGAGCCTTATCCCAACTATTTGGGATCGGCTACATAAATCCTATTTCGCAATTTTGTTCTATTAAGGGCTATCCCCTTCGGCAGACTGTATGTCACCATATCTCTTCTCACTACTTCTATCCGTGTCCTTTTGGGCCTTTTCCGTCCCTCACATACACATACAAAGTTATAATAAAAATGAAAAAAATAAAAAGAGGAAAAAAGGAAGAGACCTTTCTATGTTGATATGGTATTATATATAAAAAAATTCATTTTTCCTTTTTTTGTTGGCTAGAATTAGGTTTGCATTTGTAATTCTCATTTAAACTATCTTAACTCATAATTGCTGCTTCATTGAGGTCTTTCATGGTTGATTCCAGGTCCATAGGTCCATACAGATCATAAGAGACAAGCAAGAACTCGCTGAAACTCAAAGGGAACTGGTCAAGCTCCAAATCGTGCCAAAGGAACCCAACAGAGAAGGGGTTAGGCCTTCCAGTCCGGAGCCACCCAAGCAACAAGACAACCCATCATCTGGCATAGAGAAGCCACAGATGCATCAGGCCCATGAGTCAGCTCGGCCTGTGCCCCACAGATCAACACCATTACCTGTTCCTCTCTCTTCAACTGTTACCGATCAATACAATCCTCCTAGAGAGATGCCTACTCAACCTCCCCTGACTCAACAGCCTTTGCCACCTCAACAACTAGTTCAGCTCCAGCGCCCACCATATACAGCCCCACAACCTCATCCATACTGCCACCCCCAACAAAACCAATTGCCCCACCATCAAGATCAATACTCCCAAGCCCAAGCTCAGTATCCCCAATCACAACCACAAGCCCAATATCCACCAGCCCAAACTCGATCCCAATACCCTCAACACCAAGCTCAATACGCCCAAGCCCAAGCCCAAGGCCAAGCTCAAGCTCAGTCTCCAACTCAAACACAGTCTCACCCCCAGTACTCACAAGCCCTAACCCTATATGTGCAGCCGAGGCCCCAAAGTCCGGAATTGGACCCTAGAGCACAAACAAATCTAAGTGACAACCGAAACCAAATCCACCCATTTCCCTCACATCAACAACAGCCAACTTGGACTCAACAAATTCCCTCCCGCCCTCAGCCATCTCAAGTCTACTCTCCTTACCCGCCTCCCGAAACTTTCTCTCATCAAGCTCCTCTCTCTGGAAGCCCTCAAATGGGAACACAACCTCTCAGTAATCCTCAAATGGGAACCCCGCCTCTCAGTAACCCTCAGTTGGGAGCTCAAACAGTCACTAACCCTCCAATGGGAACCCAGTCTCCTTCGAACCCTCAAATGGGAACCCAATCAGATGGTCGTGCATATGGTTATGGGGATCGTGGTAGGATGGCTCAGTTGCATCATGGTGGCATACCCATGCCCATGCCTATGCCTATGCCTATGCCTATGCCTATGCCTATGCCTATGCCTATGTCCATTCCCATGCAGATGAAAGGTGGGCCCCACCTCGGCGATGCTGGCTATTCAGGGAGCGGACAACCTCAAGTTCCTAGTCAAGCATTTCCCATGTATGGTTCGAGTGCTGGAACTAGAACTATGGCCTCTTCTCAAATGCCACATGGTGATGCACCAATTGGTCCTGGTGCGCAACCATTGATGTATGGCCATCCACCATCATCATCCCACTCATGGTGAGGTACGTACTGACTGTGATCAACGTTGGTTGATCATGGATGCTTGTAAAAGATTAGTGGCCAGCCTAGTATTTAGTCCATCATCAATTTCTACGGTGTGATTTTTATATTTCCGACAATGAGATTCAACCTAGATATATGTTCTAGACTGGTATAAGATGTTGGCCATCATCAGCTTGGTGTAAATAAGCATGCTAATGTGCTGCATTTTATGTTTTGAATTCTGATTGCCATGTTATGGCTTCTCATCGCTATGTAAGTATGTATATAGTTCTGGGGTTTGATGAAGTGATGTGCACCTCCCTTTTTAGCATATTCCTTGTGACTTTGGGTGGCGAATTCGTGATTGATGTGGTGGTGGGGCATTACATGCACTTGTGAAAATACATGGGTTATTCATGTGTTGGTGCAAATTGCAGACAACAAAAAACACTCTGGATCCACCCATGTGTGCATATGTTAGTGATCAACAGAGACATATAGACATGCATGACACTAACTACATGGAATCCTGTTTAAAAATGCAAGTTATCAAAAAGGGGGATCCTTTGACCCAAGTAAACTTCATTTTTGTCTCATTTCATCTTAATGAAGTCCATATTGCTTGGATCTGGGACAAGATTGGTGAATAACTGAATATTTTGTTGTATTATCTGTGAATGCTTTTTTCATGTAGGATGTCCACAGGCGTATGTTTAGCTGTGCAAAGACCCACGCACACAAGCAGGTCTTCCTGCAACTTGTTCAACTTGTCTCCTTCCCCTTACTTTGGCTTCTCTCATTCTAGTGCTTTGTTTTTTGCCCCTTCTCTAAAGAATCGAGTTAAATAGATTTCAAAATGGATGGTTATAAGAGTGTCATTGATTAGATACAAAGTTTTAGAAAAAAAATTCTTGGATTTCGTGATTCATCTCAAGACATCCAATTTGACATCTAATGTGTGGGAATAGCTGCAATTGTACAAAAAAGGTAAACGGTCTCTTTGTAGACAATTCCATTCAAGATATAGGCTTTTTAATTGGGTTGGGGTTTCCATGAGTCTGCTTACTCATATGTTCATATGAATCAACCCTCTAATATCTATTTTAATAACGATCGAGATTAATGACGAATCTAGTATTTTCAACATCGGACGGACCTTCTGTTTATATTTTAAAGTAGAAGGGATTGGTTCAATATTGCAAACCGCTGACTACTCTATAATTTTAAAAATTTATAGTATGGAGTTGTCCAATATTTCAAACATCGGATAGCTTTATGCTTATTCTTTTTTTTTTTAAACATTAACAATTTTCCTTATTTTGTTCTTTTTAAAGAATAAGGGAAAAAAAATGTTTTGTTCAATTTTTTCCTTATTATTTAAAAAAACACAACATGGACCAGTTTGATATTCTAATAAACTAGAGAGGGGCTGGTCTTATGTTTTAAACATCATACCGACTCTAGAATTGTGGTTATCTGATATATGGGCTATCAGACATCCCTAGACTTTAATAAAATTAAAAAAAAAAAAAGTCCGGTCAAATGTTTGCAACGTTGTACTATGAACAAAGCTGGAAAAACAATAATACGAGATGAAAAAGTGAAAAAGTAGGACCTCCATGTAAAATTTGAAAAAATATGGAGCATTAGATAATGCCGGAGCTCTTTTCCAATGTGTACTTAATTTTTACTTTAAATTTTGGTCGGAGTAGATCGCCAAGTATTTTTCATTTTAATTATGATTTAATATTATTTCTCGCCCCTAAGGAATGGCCTAGCTATACATCTATCTGTTTCCCAGGCATTTGATTCATCTATGAGGCCTTATTTGGTAAGTGAGAAAACTGTTTTCTGGATGGATGGAGAATATATGAGAAAGTAGACACCTGGGAAACTCGCGTTTGAAAGCTGAGAACCCTTGTTTGATAACCTGGGAAACTCGTGTTTGAAAGCTGAGAACCCTTGTTTGATAACTTGTGCGTGAAAACCGACTAGAGTGTGAGCTAATAGCGATCGAGAGGGAGGAGAGATCTTTGAGGTTAGAGAAATAAAAAAGGGAAGGGGGTCTTGCATTTCCTCTTTTTTTTTTCCGAAAAACTGGCATTGTTTTCCAAAATTGGGGAAATGCATGGAAATATAGAGAAACGTGAGGCTTTGCATTTCCATGTTATCCCTTATTCGCATACAAGGAAAATCCCCTATTCCCAAACGAGGAAAACATGGGAAATGCATAGAAATATAGAGAAACGTGAGGCTTTGCATTTCCATGTTATCCCCTATTCGCAAACAAGGAAAACATGGTAACAGAGAAAACAGTTCTCATGTTGTTTCAGTTACCAAACACGGCTAAAAAGAATTGACAGTTACACTCGATTAAGAGAAATGCATATTTTTCGTAACCTCTCCTGTTACTTGGCCAAGAAATAAGTGCCTTCTAACATGGCTATATCCATTCATATAAACCCCACCTTGCTACCGTTCAGGGGCCTTAATGAAGAGAGAGAGAGAGAGAGGGAGAAAGGCCTCCCAAAACGCATGAAAGAGAGAGAATCCCCACATCATGGAAAAGAGCTTTGCGCTACAATGAGAGAGAAAACTCCACGATCAAAGAGAGAGAACCATGATCAGAGGGAAACGATGAGAGAGAAAGATGAGAAAACCCCGTAACTAAGAGAGAGAGAGAGAGAGAGAGAGCCTCTTCTAGTTGGAGGAGAGAGGGAAGCCGATCCCATGCCGTTTGGTGGGAAAAGCCACAAACAGCATGCTGCACAGCACTCCGATCCCCACCGGCACCCTCGTCAACATCTCCGCCATCTCCTTAGAGGGACTCGGGTAGAAGCACCTTACAATATCCTCATTCAACAGTGCAATCGTCATGAACACCAGTACCGAACCGAAGGCATGAACAAAATCGACAAACCTCAGCTTGTACTCCTTGCCACCATCAGATGCCTCACTCACAGTTCCATCAATGACCCATAATCCATTTTTTGTGGCCACGCCGTAGCATATGCGCCCGTTGCTTGTTCGAAAGCTATCGGTGAAACAGAGCACATAACATGACAATGCACAGCCGACTACGAGCACCGCGGTCAGAAAACGGGCACTCTGGTCGCACTCGCCCGGGCCGGTGAACACCGGTGCCAAGAGCTGGAAGGTCAGGACCGTGCCAGTAGGTAAAAGATTGGCCAAGTGGGCCGTGCTCTTGAAGGTCTGGTCGATGGCTCGCTGAACCGGGTTCGAAGGCGCAGCCCCCTGTGCAGGTGAAGACACTTGTTTGTCTTTGAGGAGGGGCCGCTGCTGCTGTTGGGCTTCTTCGTCGTGGGCGGTGATTTCGGCCATGGTTTGATCGGGGTCCAGGTTCGAATGGGGGTTTCGGGGCTGGTGTTGATGGTGGGCATTGAAGGGGAGGGCTAGAGAGAGAGTGTGGTTATAAGGGAGAGGTAGAGAGAGAGTGAGGACGAAGGGAGCAGGGGCGTTTCGCTTGCACGGCACTGCAGTTTCGGTATCGGTTTCAGTTTCAGTTTGGGGTTCCTCTTTCTCCATGTTTTGTGTTTGCTTTGGTTTTGGGTTGTTGGATTTTTGTTTGCTTTGGGTTTGTGTTGGTTGTTGTTGTTGAGTACGGGGAGTTAAAGAGGTTGGTTAATAAAGAAGGGAAGGGAAGGGAAGGAAAGGGGGTTGTTATAAAGAGGAGGGAAAGGGGTCTTAACAGCTTTTAGGGTAATGTAATGGTTTAAGCAGAATTGGCTACTTTTCTCTCGGGCACTTGCCCTTGCCTTTGCCTTTGGTGGGAATCGGTTCAAGGGAAATTTGTCAAAATATATCTAATTTTCAATAATTTATCCTATATCCACCACTATTTCAAATCATTGTTAAATGTATTTTTTATGTTGAAATAAAACCAAAAGATATGGGTAACACGTTAAATAGTTTAGATAAGGGTGCGGTTTGTATAGAGACGAGGCTCAAAACAGTCGATAGCATTTTTACCTTTGATTATAAAATTTAAAGCTTCAAAAATAATGATGATCGAGCCGATCTATAAAAAACTTGAAAATTGACAATGAAAAATACGTTACAAGATGCACTATTTCCTAAACTTGAAATCCATTTTTTTTCTTATGTGCATGTATCTTGATGTCAATATGATGAATTTGAAGATATCTAGGCATCAAAATAACCTATTCTAGTGAAATTTTTGAAGTGGGCTCTAATTTGATTGTTTAGAGCTTCAGCTCTATATAAATTGTTTCCTTGAAATAAATGTCCCAAAATTTGAAAAAACAAAGGAAGATCAAGGGCCTGGCAGCCCAGGCCCAACCTTGGCTTGGCCCTCACGTTGTGGGCCGGTCCTCGTATGTAGTGTCTTGTGGCCGAGGATCCAGCTTTATAAGGCCAGGCGGACAGCTGGTCCCGGTCAGGTCCCGGGCCAACAGGGCAGGGCCGCCCCACCCATTGGCAGTACAACTTAGCTCACCGCATTCAATCGTGATATGTTATGGTTCTAGAGTACATACGGGACGCGTACGATTCTTTTTCTAGGTTATCTAACCTTTTGACAAATACATAAATATAGATCCCTTATTCTTTGAAATTGTTATGGCAACCTAAAAGATTATTGGCACACTTGGGGCCTCATCTCATCTCATTTCCTTAGGTAAAACACTATCAAACTTTTGGGAAATAAAATGACCTAAAAAAGAAGAAGTGATTTACGTGCCGATCTTAAACATTTTAAGTAAAATATAAAATGCTTTGGCATAAATTATAGAGAAGGTCAGTCAATCCACCTTTTTATTTTTCCAAAATTACCCCTTGATCAACCTGTTTTTTATTTATTTTTTAAATATTTTCATTAGTATGGTAGTGCCCCAAGCTTTAGTGTCAAAAAATGTTGAGCACTTTAGGCTACATAGTGGTGTAGACCCCTAAAGTGCTCAACATTTTTTGACACTAAAATACATTTGAATTGTAATACAAAAATTTTCAGGGTATTTTTTATCATTTAGAATAGTAGATTGGATATTTTTATAAGAAAATGATAGCATTCTATTCGTAGTTAAACACAATTAATGCATCTTGTGGGATGTCACACACCATATTAGTAATGTTGCTATCCATTATTGTTAATAAATATTTTTGTTTCTATTAAGAATTTATAGTTGACCTTTGACTAATTACTTAAAATACCCTTAAACAAAAAGTTACTATACAATAGGATAAGGGTATCTAAATATCTAAAAATGTTGAGCACTTTAAGGGTCTATACCACAAGTGATGTAGCCTAATAAAACCCATAAAAAAAAGTGTGTTCACCGATATTCTTTGTAATTTCTGCCTATAAATAGAGCATTTCGTATTTTACTTAAAATTTTAAAGTTTCTACATAAATCACTAAAAGAAAAGAAAATCCGTTACCACTTTTTGTACTTGTCACAATATTGGACCAAGGCAGTCCAATTTTGGGAGGGTCAAATCTCAATGTTTAAGAAGCCTAATTCATTTATTTTCTTTAAAATTACTCAGATAAGTAGTTTAAAAGTGGATCCCAAAGACAAAAAGTTCAATATTCAAAGGGAGTCTTTGCCTGAAGTAGTGGTGCATATATGCTCCTACAGTATACTATAAGCACTCAGTAGTAAAATGTGTGTCAAATGGGACCTTCTGCCTTCATAAATCACAATCGTTGAGGCCACGTTCTTTACAGAGAACAATACTCCAAGATTGAAGACTGTCTTGGATAGTAACATGTCAAAGCCTACTTTTTCTTTTTTAATTTAATCATCTTTTAGTGATTTTTAGGTGGATCCCATAAATTAATGATGAAGTTCATGTTTTTTTCTATGGGTATTATGAAATTCAATCAGAAAATATGAGCAATATGTTAAATTGTTCATCTCTTATGGTTAATTCGATCAATTTTTTCATTAAAAAAGGAAGCTAAACCTAGGGGTTATGCCAAAGGATTTAATGCTCACATCGAAGTATTGCTCTCTTATGGAAGTATTACTCTCGTAAGTAAAACTCAAACTAGGATTAATTTTAGGACCTCAAATTTTGGAGATGTAATCTCTTGAATCTATTGACTACCTTCAACTAAAAAAAATTCAAATTGCATTGTTTTCTATGCAGTTTAAAAAAGTATGTCTCAAGGTTGAATATAGACCATCCAATTTTTGGAGGTTGAAGTCCACTCAAAATCCATATTTTTCTTTTAAAAATACTTATTTTTTAATTCTTACGTGATTCTCATAATTTCAAATTAAAAAAATCTTCCCAAGCAGGACCAAGGGAGTAGGTTGAAAGTATATACCTGCACAAGAGTATAGTATACATGCTCATAAGTTACACGTGTGTTAGTCGCTAGTATATCGTGTTTGTGTGTATACACGCACATAAGTTACACGTGTATTAGTTGCTAGTATATCGTGTGTGTTCGTGTTGAAGCATATTGTATATTTATTTCCTTGGGAAAAGAGAGAAAAAAATTAGGCAATTTATCTATTATGAGTCATTTAATGAAGAAAAAAAAATTGTATACGGTTGCAATTTTAAAATGCAGAATTAAGGTGCATCTTAAAAATTCATAAAAAATAAGTTGTTTCGATATTGGAAAATCCTTTTATTAATTATCTAGACATTGAAATCTATGGATATGAAAAAAAAAAAAAAGATTTTTTCAGTCCCAAAAGTTATGCATATTGCAACATATTATATGTACAATCCATTTTTAAGATTTTCATGTGTTTATAGATTTGTACTATGTTTAGAGTTTAAAATTTTATAATTAGAGATGAAAATAGATTCTCAAGCTATTCTAAGAATATTTGACACTAAGATTACATCTTATGATAAAATTTAGAGTTGCACCTTACTTTGATTGTTTGAGGTTGCAATTTTTTTTAAACTATATATGTGGATTATTAAAATTTTAGATTTATTCCTTGAACTATCCAGAAAATCAAGAAAAGCAAAAATCGATGCATGTTCAATAGAACTTCCCAAATCATCATGAAAACCACATAAATGATCTAAAAAATGTATTTATAAATCATTTGATGATGATTTTTTAGCAAAAAAAGCTTTAATAATGTTAAACAATGGGCCAAATGATGCATCAAATGATTACTCCAAAGCAGTTAAGTATCTAAAGTTTGTAACATAACGACAGAATCGTCTACAGGCATGGACTTTAAGTCATGTGAGGATTAGATGTGTTTTTTTTTGGATTAGATGTATTTTTTTTTTCTTGAGAGAAATTGATTTATAATGTCTCCCAAACTTCAATTTTATCTCCCCATAATCAAGCCCATCGCTCTCGAATCAAGGTTACAACGAAACCAATTTTTCTCTCCCCTAAACCAAAACCCACATCAAAAAATCCCTTTTCTCTCTCCTAAACAAAAATTTACACCGAAAACTAAATTGCTCTTCTCCATATTTCCTTGAAAGGAAAAAGTTTTTATAAAGTTGCACATCAAAAATTAAGAAGAAAATAGTGTTCCAAAGTTGGAAAAACATTTAATTGATCATCTTGATAGATATATATATATATATATATATAATAAAAAGAATTTTCAATCCTAAAAAAAAAATCAAGTTATTGTAAGGTTTCCAATACCGTAAATATATTTTCTCGCAAAATTTAAAAATGCTCCTTACTTGTATAATATAACGTGGGCACCTTATATAAACCTCACGTTTCCTTAAATGTACTATAATGAACCTAAAAGCTACTATTTCGTAGAAAATAGTCCATTCATCGAGAATGGGTTGGGCTTTAGTGGTAGTACTGTTGAGCCCGTTGAAAAGAATTCATCCCTCTCCCTACCGACTCACCACCCCAATAAATAAATAAATAAATAAAAAAGAGAAATCGTTCTTCAATGAGCTCATGCATGTGACTTCATTATCCCTCCTTTCCACACCATCAAAAACTCATCATACCAATCACGGAGAATAAAAAGATTTTATGCTCTCATGGGAGCATAGTGTCCATTGAGCAATTTTATGATTCTAGATTTTAGGTACGTAACATATTCAACTACTTAAAAAAAAATAAAATAAATAATAATAATAAAAACACGAAAAAAACATGTTTCAAGATCGAATAGAGACCATTCAATTTCATCAGCACCAGATCGGTAATTGTTAGAAAAAACCTAAACCAGCACAACGAAGCGAACGAAAAGACCCGATAAATTAAATCAAGAGAAAGAAACAAGGAGAAAATAATACAAGAAAAGTAAGGAGTCCAATAACTCATAAAATTGATTCCCTTAGGCCATAAGGGTGAGTTATGGATATTGTTTTCGGCGCCTTATGTTGCACTCTCCCATGCCTCTTTGTTGGTAAAAAGCCATAACACACCCTTTATCAAACTACACCATTAGTGTCCGCTTTTAACCTTCGGTTGTTGTTTACGTCTAAACGAGAACCTTGACGCGGACTTGATTGTAGAGAGAGAGAGACCCAGAATGTGAACCTAATTCGAAACCCATTTAGAGAGAGAGATTCCAGAGGAATATAAAAAAAGTGGCAATTAAGAAATTGTGTAGTACCTTGTTATTCGTCATTTGACAAGCTATAAATAAAAAGGTTGTTCGCGATTAGACGGCACAGAATAGCC